GGGGATTGTTCCAGTGGTATCAACAATAAGCCGTTGTCTATAGTCTGTCAGTATGGCTAATGCATTTTGCCGGTACCAGTTAATGTTGACAATGGTTCCATTGTCAGTTGATGATAATTGACAATGAATAGATTGCTCTTGTTCTTTGTACCTCGTTTGTGTTCAGTAAGTCTTATGTTATTCCTGCAGTTTCCCGATAGGAGGCGTGGCATTGGGACAGTTTATTTTGTAAACTTTGCACACTCGTTCGTTGAGTGTTCTTTGTCCTTGATGTTCGTAAGTACTTGTAACGTTGTGATTGGTTTATGTGACAGTATGTTGTATGGTCGTTAAATTCACGCGAATAGTCTCGACGTACCTGATATAAGTTACCGTTGCTGGTGTTATTGTGTTGTTGGTTTCTTTGTTTTTGTAACTTGTAAGTGTTGCGTTTGATAAAGTCAGAGTTATGTTGCATATTCATATACATAGAAAGCACGTGCTGTTTTCAGATTTGATAAAATTAACCAATGATTTGTCAAACTCCAGCCTCGCATTCAAATTTTAGTCTTATTTAGCCATCTTTGCATCGTGAATGGCTCAGCGGTGGCACTTTCACTCATAATTTCTTTGAAGGACAATAAAGGTTTAGAACTACTGAAGGTAACGATTCACTCGGTTGAGGAAATTCAGTGGTTTGTTAAAATTGTTAAGCCAAAACGACAACTTAGTAAGTTTTCGTCAAGATTTTAAAGAAGCAAACTCGCCAGCTGTGAAACTGCCAGGATGGCGTATTCAATACACGAATGTCCTCTAACTGGCAACGTATCGAGAGGATAACGGATTTGATAAAATAATGATAAAATATTTTCATACCATTCTTTCCACAGATAAAATAAGGCAACTTCCTCCTTCATTACTGTTGTGGACCACAATCGTGTTTACCTTCGAAAATTATTAAACTAGGATCACTGAAAAACTGGAATTAACTGTGCATGGGGGCTTCTCCTCCAAATTACATTTTCGTTTTCCATTTGTCAATTCCATTCGACCATACATTAAATATTTTGTTATTGACTTGCCAAATCCACACCAATATCATATTTCGTCCACGGCACTGTCACAATAGCGGACCTGGCTTCTGCGAAATATTGTGAATAATGTAGCCAGTAAGGAATGTTGACAGTGAAAGGAAGAATTTCACCTGTGTTTTTAAAGAACCAAAGTTCAACAGCGGATAATCATTCTATGAATCATTTTGATGAACAAACTGATGATGTAAAACATTCGTACATGAAATTGCGGAAAGATTCAATCGCGAAATTTTGTATGTTTTCATAGAAAAGACAACCAAGATTATATGACAGACTCTTTTAATATTCTAGACTGACTGCACGTTTGTTATTGTTGCACTTTTTTCTTTTGCTATTACAAATATATTTTAATAATTATATTTAGAAGACGTCACGCAGCTGAAACAACTCAACTTGGCAACAACAGCTTACTGCTTATATCAAAGGTACGTCTGAACTATGTCTTACAACCATACAAAATACGTGTCCCTCATAACCAAATACAACGTTACGACAGAACAACAAACGTCAGCAACGAAACGTTAGAAGTCTACGTTCGGCTCCTGAAGACGACTGGGATCGATGAAAGACGGCTATTATTAATAGAGGGTTTTGTTAGGGCGTCAAGACGTCTGTATTATCGCATCGGACGCCAGCAAAATTTCGTATTTTTCTTTTATAATGTTGTGACAAAAATCTCGTCGGTTTATGGAACTGTATTCAGAGGCGTAACTGGGGCTTTCGTAACGTATAACTCAACGACAATAACAAACGGACTTATATCAAGGTACGTATCTCATAAACAAACTACAACGCGACCACGACAACATGGCTGTCGGGAACAAAGGTAACCAAACGAACGATAAACTTGTTGTTTCAGGTGCAGTTTAAAGAAAACTGCTTCGACTGCCACACCTCTATGTCGAGGAGACAGACGGAACGATCATAAAGACTTACTGAGGACGAACAAGTAACAAGAAACAAGACAAAACCAACCAACATTGCGGAACATCACCGACTGACAAAACACAACATTGGCGGTGAGTCGGCAAATTACGTACTACAGCACTGACTACAGACAGCGGCTTTACATTAAAAGTTGGATCACAACAATTTTCGGCACCTTGAAGCGACTTATTCCCAACCTCAAAAGGCTATTGGCATTTGGGACTATAGCTAACCACAATAACAATACGCAATTGTCACCCACACGCATCACTCATTTCCTACACATACAATACGATGAAGTATAAACCAGACCAAAATACGGCAAACCAGACTCTGAAAATGACCACTGCTAAAGGGCTAAGGTTGTCAAAACAACAACAGTCCTTCTCAGGACTCTACTAACCAGGGCCATCTACATCTACGCACTTGAAATTTTAGATAGCAATAACTCTTGATCAATAGAATTCGACTTTCAAATATTATTCCTTCATGTCATTGATATTTATTGCTGGGACAGAGATTGTCAAAATTAACTGAAGCAAATTTCAGTTTTTCTCATTCCTGTTACCACCATCCTACATCCATTTTCCCCGTTCGCTTTACGAATAACCATGCATTTGATAAAACCGTTTTACTGCATGCAAGCACTTTATGCGCGAATCGACATCAACATGTCTTCAAAATATGATATTCAACTGTTCTGCTCATAATAACAATGTGCATGTTGAATAATACAAAATAACTTGATAAAACAATGATCATCGTTCAACAATCATATAAAAATATGTGGTTAATTTATCGGCATTATTTATATCAATATGAATGCTCAGTGGCTTTGAACAATCAAGTTATGTCAGTAGCTTTGGTTGAATGCATGGTTCGAGCCAGGGGTGCTCGACACGTATGAATCGTCCGTTAATTCAAAGTATGAAAGTGGTATGATGGTGGCCGTATGCGACAGGTCTCGTTCTGGTCGAACATTCTCGACATTGACAGACGACTTTCTCTTGTCGATACGTTTGTGTTCATCTCAAAGCGTGGCACAATACGTCGTGGGTATAAATAACACCCTTTAAAATAACCTCTTAATCTGATACGTAGACAGCCGACAATTTCATAAGTCGCTGATAATAAATTTCGAATCATTTTGCTGAAGTAGTTACTACCTATTCAACAAAAATGGATCATTCAAATCGCTTACGACCCTAAAAACAACGTGCAAATTTCCGTGTTCAATCGTGATTCCACTGAAATCGTACTTACCAGTCTAACACAATTACAAATAATCGTCCCATTCATGTCATTAAACACAAATCTCATTCTTCCGTAGAGATGACAGGACATCGATGAACAATATGACTGTATAATGGGGCTTGACAAACGTCAAAAGCGTCTGTATTATCGCACATCGGACGCTCAGAATATTTCGTATTGTTTGCTTTATAATATTATACAACAAAAATCTCGTCAGTTTTGGAACGTATATTCAGAGGCTGGGGGTTACAAATAACTCGGCGACAATAAGCAATACCTTTATATCAAAGGAATACGTCTGAGACTATCTCGCGTCTCTCTCGATAAACAAATTACAACGTTACGACAAGCACTAACAAAGCGGGGACAAAGAACAACCAAACTTGAACGATAATAAACATTTGAAAAGATGCAGTTTACAAGATAAACTGCTCCGACTTCTCCCACACCTCTATATCGGGGAGACAGGCAGGAACTTGATTATAAGACTTACTGAACACAAACAAGTAACAAAGAAGAATAAAACCAATAACATTGCCGAACATCTTACTGACAAACAGTGTTGCCAGATGGGCGGTTTCCCGCCAATGGGCTGGTTTATAAACCTGTTTGCGAAATTTTGGGGTTGCGGGTTTGCGAGTTTTTGGGCTGGGAATAACTTTTTGCGCGATTTTTTGGGCTGGAAAAAATTTTGATGATCTAGCTTCCACGTGTTTTTGTTTTTGTAGTGGTAAACAGCAACTGCGCTAATATTGTAGTGACGTACATAACGTGCGTATATTATTCATCTCGATTATGTATTAGCAATACAGGAAATAGCCAACCTACACCTCAAACGCTACTTAAACTTACGCTACTTGCATTACGTAAAACTACTCAAATTTCAAGTACATTATCCGCCTTGTAATAACTGCACCTTACGATATACGATATACGATATCAATGTGTAGTTTGGTTTAAATTAAATATTTTCAACAGACTTGGTGTAGTTTTTACTTGTTTTGATGCAAATTTGGGCTATTTCTTGCAAAATATAATTGGGCTATTTTTGGGCTACTTTTAAAGGTAGCTTGGGCGGGTTTGCAGGCTACCTATCTCGCAACACTGCTGACAAAACACAATGACGGTGACTCGGCAAAATGCATTACTACAGCACTGACTACAGATAACAGCTTACATTAAAAAGTTGGATCACAACAATTACCGGCACCTTACAAACGACTTATTCCCAATCTCAAAAAAAGGAAACTATTCCCATTACATAGCTAACCACAATAACAATACGCAATTGACACCCACACACTCACTCATTTCCTATACATACAATACGATGAAGTATAAACCAGACCAAAAATACGGCAAACCAGACTCTGAAAATGACCACTGCTAAGGGCTAAGGTTGTCAAAACACCAACAGTCCTTCTCAGGACTCTACTAACCAGGGCCATCTACATCTACGCACTTGAAATTTTAGATAGCAATAACTCATGATCAATAGAATATGACTTTTTTCAAATGACATTCGTATTTTTGTGGATATCGGTTGATAACATTTGAAACAGGACTAAAGTTATCAAAATTAACAAACAAATTTCAGTTTTCTCATTCCTGATTTTCCCATCCTGCATCCATTTCCCATTCCTTTTTACAGATAGCCGAAAAATTTTTGTCAATTTTGATGCTCCGTTGAGCATCGAAACTTTACATATCACCACCTCAAAAGGCCGTTTTACTTCACATGCAAACACTTTATACTTGCCGAATGTCATCACAATATTTTCAGCATGTCTTCAAAATGCAATAGTAATTATACTATAATAACAAAGCATGTACATGTTGAATGTACAAATAACGGATAAAACAATGATCATCGTTCAACTTAATTCATTATAAAAATATGTACTTCAATTTATCGAAAATTTATTTATATCAAATATGAATATCAAATTAGCTTTGAACATCAAATTATATGAATATCAAATTAGCTTTGAACTGAATGCATGGTTGAGCCAAAGAGTATTGTTAGGTGCTCGTACATGTAGATCGTCCACGTTAATAAAGTATTGAAAGACGGTTAATTGGTGTTAGGGCTGTCTGACACAGCAGAGGTCTCGTTCTGAAGATGAGACATTTCTCGACAATTGACGGCTGACCCTTTCTCTTGTCGATACGTTTTGTGTTCAATCTCAAAGCATGTACACAATACTTGTCATTATTTCGATTGACCAAAGTTTGTTGATAAACTATTTTGAAATTTCGTAAAACACCCTTTGTAAAATAACCTCTTAATCTGTTACGTAGACAGCCAGTAAATTTCATAGAATCGCTGTGTAAAATCTTTCAGATCATTTTGCGCAAATTAGTTACTACCTAGTTCAAGCAAAAATGGATCATTCAAATCACGCTTACGTACCTCTAAAACAAAACGTACCAAAAATTTCCGTGTTACAATCAGTGATTCCACTGGAAATCGTACTTGCCAGTCTTGCTTACGAATTACAAATAATCACCTAGCATACATTCATGTCATTAAAACACAAATCTTTACGTTCTTCCGTAGGATAACAGGACATCGATGAAAGACAATGTGGCTGTATAATGGGGCTTGGTAGAGGCGTCAAAACGTCTGTATTATCACTTTTATCGGACGCCGACAAGAATATTTCGTATTGTTTCTTTTATAATATTATACAACAAAAATCTCGTCAGTTTATGGAACGTATATTCAGAACAGCTAGGGGGTTAAATAACTCAACGACAATAAAGCAATACCTTATATCAAAGGTACGTCTGAGACTATCTCGCGTCTCTCTCATAAACAAATACAACGTTACGACAAGCACTAACAAACGTCAGGACAAAGAACAACCAAACGAACGATAATAAACATTTGACAAGATGCGTTTACAAGATAAACTGCTCCGACTACCTCTATCTGGGAGACAGGCAGGAACGATTATAAGACTTACTGAACACAAACAAGTAACAAAGAAACAAGACAAAACCAATAACATTGCCGATCATCACTTACTGACAAACAGTGTTGCCAGATGGTGGTTTTCCCGCGAATGGGCTGGTTTATAAGCCTGTTTGCGGGAAATTTTGGGAGGTTGCGGGTTTGCGAGTTTTTGGGCTGGGAATAACTTTTTGCGCGATTTTTTGGGCTGGAAAAAATTTTGATGATCTAGCTTCCACGTGTTTTTGTTTTTGTAGTGGTAAACAGCAACTGCGCTAATATTGTAGTGACGTACATAACGTGCGTATATTATTCATCTCGATTTATGTATTAGCAATGAAATAATAACCTACACTTACTCAAACGCTGCATAAACTTACACTTTACTTTATAATTACGTAAAACTACTCCAAATTTCAAGGTACATTATCCGCCTTGTAATAACTGCACCTTACGATATACGATATACGATATCAATGTGTAGTTTGGTTTAAATTAAATATTTTCGACTTGGTGTAGTTTTTACTTGTTTTGATGCAAATTTGGGCTATTTCTTGCAAAATATAATGGGCTATTTTGGGCTACTTTAAAGGTAGCTCGGGCGGTTTACAGGCTACCTATCTCGCAACACCACGCTGACAAAACCATTGACGGTGACTCGGCAAAATGCATTACTGCACTGACTACAGATAATATTTACATTAAAAGTTGGATCACAACAATTACCGGCACCTTACAAACGACTTATTCCCAATCTCAAAAGAAACTATTCGCATTATATAGCTAACCACAATAACAATACGCAATTGACACCCACACACTCTCATTTCCTATACATACTATACGATGAAGTATAAACCAGACCAAAATACAGCAAACCAGACTCTAGAAATGACCACTGCTAAGGGCTAAGGTTGTCAAAACACCAACAGTCCTTCTCAGGACTCTACTAACCAGGGCCATCTACATCTACACTTACTTGAAATTTTGAATAGCAACTCTTGATCAATGGAATATGACTTTTTCAAATGACATTCGTATTTTTGTGGATCGGTTGATAACATTTGAAACAGGACGAAAGTTATCAAAATTAACAAACAAATTTCAGTTTTCTGATTTTCATCCTGCATCCATTTCCCCATTCCTTTTTTTACAGATAGCCGAAAGAATTTTTGTCAATTTTGATGCTCCGTTGAGCATCGAAACTTTACATATCACCACCTCAAAAGGCCGTTTGACTTCACATGCAAACACTTTATATACTTGCCGAATGTCATCACAATATTTTCAGCATGTCTTCAAAATGCAATAGTAATTATACTATAATAACAAAAGCATGTACATGTTGAATAACTAAATAACGGATAAAACAATGATCATCGTTCAACTTAATTCATTATAAAAATGAACTTCAATTTATCGAAAATTTATTTATATCAAATATGAATATCAAATTAGCTTTGAACATCAAATTATATGAATATGGTGATTAGTTGGTTTGAGAATCAATGTGAAAAGACAGTTGGTATTTATGGTTCATGGTGGTTTACAAAACAGTTTGACATTACTTTCTGTCGATACGTTTTGTATTCAATCTCCATATTTACAATACTTGTCATTATTCGATTACCAAAGTTTGTTGATAAACTATTTTGAAATTTCGTAAAACACCCTTCGTAAAATAACCTCTTAATCTGTTGTGGAGCAGCCAGTAAATTTCATAGAATCGCTGTAAAATCTTTAAGATCATTTTGCGCAAATTATTTACACCTACTTCAAGCAAAAATTGGACAATTCAAATCACGCTTACATTACCTCTAAAATAAACGTACCAAAAGTTCCGATGTTTACAATCAGTGATTCCACTGGAAATCGTACTTGCAGTCTTGCTTACGAATTACAAATAATCACTTAACATACATTCAATGTCATTAAAACCAAATCGCTCAACTTCCGTAGGATGACAGGACATCGATGAAAAGGCAATGTGGCTGTATAATGGGGCTTGGTAGAAGCGTCAAAACGGATCGTGACTAAAACACCACGTACATACGGTATACGAGTACATACGAGTAACATACGGTACATACTGGTACATGCAGTAACATACAAATTTACATACAGAGCTTATACGAGTACATACAGGTGACATACGACTATTTTCTGGTCAACAAATGAGAAACAACACAATTTCTTCAATACATTGATATTTGCGTTTATTTTCCCTGGACTTTGGGGCAACCATTTGATTGATTTAAATGCTGAAAAGGTATTTTACTTTCATACTACATTCATTTTGTATGTTTTAGTTGAATTTGTTAGATATTTTGTCGATGCGATTTGCCAGTATTTGAGCGCTTTTTTGACACACTTTCACCTAGGAAATACATATTTATGAAAGCGATTATACATTCATTTTGACTCTGAAGATGACTACCGCTAAGGTTTGTCGAAACGTCAGTCAACAACAACAAAACAGTCAATACTCAGGACTATACCAACCTGGACGATCTACATTTACAAACATGTAACGATACTCCCGGGTTCAAACCATTTACTTTATAGATAAGGATCCAAAATGCACGAATTTCACCGAATGGCTAAGTATAGTTAACTGTTTTGCCATTGTAAATACTCACTCCGATTTGTTTTTTGCAATTTTTACTTCCACTTTTAAAATAAAATCAACGATGAAAATCAACTTGTTTTCTAAAAAAATATTACCATATTAAACTTAATTAAAACTATAGCTATAAACAATAAATCTTACGCTATTTCTTGAATATCAACATTTACGTAAAACGTTTACATATATAATGTACATTTATTTCATATAGCACGTTTTGAAAGCATTATTTATACGTTGTTTATTTAATCGCTTTCATAAATATGTATTTCCTAGTTGAAAGTGTGTCAAAAAGCTTTCAAATGCTGGCAGAAATTGCATCGACAAATATCTGTAACAAATTCAACTAAAACATACAAATGAATGTGTGTAGTAAAATACACCAGCATTAAATCCATCAAATGGTTACCCCAAAGTCCATAAATACAAGGAAAAATAAACATAAATATCAATCTATCAGAAGAAATTGTGTTGTTTCTCATTTTGTTGACCAAATAGTCACTATGTCACTCGTATCTACTCATTATGTTACTCTGTACTCGTATGTACTCGTATGTACTCGTATGTACTCGTATGTACTCGTGTGGTGTTTTAGTCACGATCGTCAAAACGTCTGTTTATCACTTTTATCGGACGCCGACAAGAATATTTCGTATTGTTTGTTTTATAATATTATACAACAAAAATCTCGTCAGTTTATGAAAAGTATATTTATAATAGTAATGACTTTTATCAAATAACAAAATTTTGCCAACATGTTTTCATTGCATTATATCAAATAATAAACATCATACAACTGGGTAATTTCAAATAACAAATTTCTCGACGGGATTTCTTATTTGATAATTTCAAATAACCAAAATAACTTTTAGACACTTTGTAAGCCAAGTTACTTCACAACTGTATGAGCACCGCTTCCCCTAAATAGTTGCATGACATTCCAAATAACTTGATAAAACATTGATTATCGAACAATTCAACGTGAAATATTAACTACAACTAATCAAAATTTCATTTGATTATACTTAAAAGATTACAAAAATGTAAACAAAGTTTTCTGCTTCATATTATACATATATTTTTTCTAGTTGATAAATCCGGCATGATATATTAGATCATGGCAGCGATAATCTTTTATAATATCATTTTTAAAGTAATTCAATTAAAAACGCATGAAGCGATTTTGTTTTGCAGGATTCCACACTAAACTGCACTGAATTTTGGTAATAATGATTTGCATGCGTACATGTGGGTAACCTGTGAAGTAAATAAACACTAAATGAATGAGATTAAATGATCATGAATCCAATAAAACTATATATTTATGTCAAACCTGTTCAACATTTGAAAATATTGTTTAGTTATATGTCCAAGCAATATTTTATTTATTTAGATTTCTCACTGACGTTTAAAAGTTTTTCAAAGAAAACAAATAAAAATTGATGGAAATTACATATATGAAACATGAATTATAGTACTTCAGTGATCGCAAGTCTATCGTATTTACTGCTTAGATTGAAATATATCATAATTCACTTGATGTAAAATTGTAAATTGGCAATCCACACAAATAAATCACACTTGTATTTCGTGCAATATTCAAAAGCAAATTAAAGACAAATATACAAGTCAATTCAAAAATTAATGTCTTTGGCTAATATTTCTAAAAATAACAACATTTTCTTATGATTATGCCACCCAAGACTCTGTGCTAATTACAAATAACTTCTGTAGTTCTGGTTGATCTTTGTAAAGGACAGACGCATCGCAGCTCACACAAAGAAAAAGTATAATTATTTTAAATCTATGCTATACACGTGACTTTGTTCATTTTCATTGAAGGAATGTCGAATAAAATAAAAAAATGGAAGTAAATTAAACAACTTACAATAATTCTACAACAAGCAACAAACGGATAAAA